TTATGAAATATGTTTAAATTTTAAAAATAGATTTGATTGTAGATAACACTCAGTGGTCATACGTTTTAAAATAAAAACAATGGAAAAATAATTAGAAGCAACAAAAAATACTTATGGTGTGATAATCTAATTAGCGCAACCAAATACTCATAAAACAAATAAATAATCGAAAGTTCAAGGTTGTATGTGCATGTATGAACATGTCATATTTTATTTATCTAAAAGAAACATTTTAATACAAAAGAGGTTATAAAATAAACATAACATCATATACATCTGACAGACTATTCTAGAACGAGTTAACCCAATAGTTATCAAAAATATATATGTACATAATTTATATATAGGGCCTAAATTCAATTAAATATTAACTCACCCCAAAAGTTTATAAATAATTGAAGTTCGTTTAAAGTAGTTTATCAATAAACCTATACTATTCCGTCAGAATACCATAGCAAAGGTGTTATTAACCAATTACTATATACCTATGTATTTGCATTGATAATTTCATAATTGCGATGTCTGACCATATTTTATTTATACAATTTATAAACATTCTAATCAACATTTGAACTAATCACGTGAAATATATATATATATATTTAAGATTTACAGATAATGTCAGTCTTGTTAAAAAATCATTTTCATACAATGACAATTTTTAACAGTAAAACATTCTTTTAATTATGATAATTTTCATATTAAAATGTTTAATGACAATTTAATATTTGTTTAGAAGCAGAGAATAAAAATAGTATCTAAATATTTGCTAATTATAAAAGTATAATTAAAAAGAGATATCTAGATAAAACCCCAAATAATAAAATAATATACAAATATAAAAAATTAATTAAGTAATAAAGTTAATTATAATCTAAAGGTTTTATAAATAAAAAGTAATTTTTATAAATATGTATATTTTAAAATACTTGAATCTTAGAAATTTGCCAGGGAAGTCAGTCAATTCCTCAAACGAATACTCAACTCCCTGGGTCATAGTGAATCCTTAAATATGGTACATTTCACTCAAATGAAAATGTTTAATGACCTGCAATAAAATATGCACAAGAAAATATTTTACTAGCAAACAAATAAGTGTGTTATTATGTTTAGAGCAACCTTGTGTAAATATTTTTGCAAACATGTGAGAGCCGTAAAAATTTAATTAAGATAAAACTTGTGACAGAATTTGGAATTTTTAAACAATAAGATAAAATGTATATACCTATACACTTTTTTACGAAAATTAGAATTATAATTAAAAAACAGAGTCTCCTTAAAGCTAACTTTATGGTATCTAAGTAACAACTTATTAGTTGTTTAATGTAGATCAATTCCATGACATATGGGATTTTGATGTCCTTATATTGTTTTAAAACTCAAAACAAATGATAATTCAGATCAAGGTTTTTTTTTTCATTTACATTGTCAAAACGTTTACATGTATTTAAGACATTACAATATTTCAAAATTTATAAACCTTTATATGTAAATTCCTTTTTTCCTCAAGCACCTACTCCAGTAAAATTATCGAGCCTAAAACGCAATACGGTGAAAATATATTTACTTTTCTTTTTTGGTTAATAAAACAACAATAGATTTTCCCTATTTGTTAGAATCTAATTTTGTCTAAAAAATCGTTAAATGTTTTTTATTAATATGTTTGAATATCTTTTGTTAAACAAATTTAAGCTTACACACGCTCATAACAATTTAACGCTCTAAATACATGCTTCACCTTTTTTTGTTGTTGGTGTTTTTCGTTTATGGTGTCATATCGATGATACAGATTGTATCATGCATATATTCAATCATAGACTAGCATAGGTGTAGTACAGTGTGACATTTTTGTATGCCAACAGTATACAATTTTGTTGTCCTCTCAATTTTTAAATTTAGCAAACAAAGTTTGCCAAATAAAAAATCGAATATTTATTTCGTATATTATCTATTAGATTAGAATATGTAAGAAAGTATTTACGATTCGGGAACAAGATTTTAAGTATTCAAATCTACTCTTATTGATACTATTACTTAAGATACTATTGAATTGTTTAAATAATATGTACTTTACTATTAAATAGAATCGAAAACTGTTTAAACTGAGAAGAGACCTAATAAACACAATTTTTGGACAAAGAGTTACTAAAAGCAAATATAAACAAAGGCCTAAATAATATTTACTTTATTTATTAACAAACAAGTACAACTAATACCAATATGAAGTAACAAAAATTCAATTGAACCTCGAATTATGTACACAGTTTATAGTATTTTAACATGCAACAAATAGAGAAAATACTATTCGTTATTTGGTGTAAATGATATTTGTCATACTGTAAAATATTAAAGCCAAAAATACAAACATAATAGAAATTTGTAATGTAAGTAATACCTGCGATTCTCGTTTTTGTTATAATTCATTTATTATTTTTTATATATAACGTTATTTTTTTGTACATTGCATTCAAAACACTTGATTTGCGATTATTGTTAAAATAAAATAAAAGCTGAGTTAGTTTTATTTAATACATAAACATGTTGTTGCGGCTTTTGTGCATAATTAAATCGAAATAAAAAATTAACAAACTTAGTATGTTACAGTGTAACAAATAATGAGTCATACATTTTATTAAGTTTATCCGGAAAATGCTGATTTTTTTAATTGTTTAGATACAAATCTGTATTATTTATTTTGTATTATACTGTATTTACTTAATAAAACGAAATCATATGTAGTTGTTAAAAAAGCAACAATAAGCTTTAAAAGGTTTTTATTGTTTTTGCTATTTATAAACGTAAATAATGAAGTCATGTTTAAAACATAAATCAGAATAATATACAATTAAATTACAAAATTTATTAAATTGTATACTTTTGGGCAAGCCATTTAAAGGTTAAAAATTCATTGTAAAAAAACTTTCCATATTATTTCTTATTTTATTTTGTTAGAATATCAAGAAAGCACTACAAACAACTAAAACATTCAAAACACTTGTGGATTGTGTAAGATTTTTTGTCTATTTTGTTTTTAAAATTTAAATAACTAGCCGTTTAGTATTTATTCAACCTCGCTTTATACTCTCTTTCTAACTCTCTTTATTTTTATTATGTTTTGGCCTTAAACTGTAAACACCAATTCTTTGCAAAATTTAAAAACAACTTTTAATCATGTGAGATCTTAAAATGTTAAAAAAAATACAAAAACTTTAACACACGCCGCTTAGTCATTGAATAGGAACAGAAAAAAGAAACAAAAACTCAAAATCATTAATTCAGATAAGTGTTCATTCAGATAATTGTCTAGGAAATATTATTTGTTTTGATCTCATCTATGTCAAACACTATAAAGTATATAAAGTTTATATATGAATTGCGGTTTTTGCTTTCAACTGTAACAGTGTTTGTTGGTTGTTTACTAATACTTGTTTGGGGATTTGAAATTAATTTAGTTTTAATTTTACTTCTGAGAAAACATCTTTGGTTGACGTGTTGTAATTTGATTTTAATTAAGAAAATTGTTATATAGATTGGTTTTACATTCGCAGCTTGAAAAAGTTAATTATAATGTTTTGAAATAAAATTTCATTAAATTAAGTTTTTAACAAATTTTGGAAATATTCCAATTCAAAAACAAGACACTTGGAGTTTTTTTAAGTATGTATGAAAAATGTATAAAAGAATACCTAGGTATATTGTTCGATTTTATTTAGTATTTAAATATTGTTCGCTATATAGGTTGTTCAACTTTAGAAATGCTTTCTAGTTCAACTGTTGTCACTCTCTTACCGAATTACATTTGTGCAAAATTTCTCTTTTTTCATTTCTCTCTTAAAAAGATTTTTATAACTCAAAGTTTTTCAATAATTTTTTTAAATAGGTAAGTTCATTAATATTGTAATATTATTGGAATTTCCAGTTTCAAGTTTTTTAACTTTCAAAATTGTATTGGAAATTAGGATTAAGAAATGTTCTTCGAATATTCCTATGCCATCATAAAATACACAACGTATGTATGTATAATCGTCTATCATTGGAAATCGATTTATGTAACATAACATAAATTATGTTTAAGTTGTAAAATACTTGTAGATTGTCCTACAAAAATTAAGGGAAATTGTGTAATGAGTACGGATGTAATAAAATATTTATTTTTTTCACTTTTATTAACATATTGAAAATAATATCAGAAAGCTATATAAATTAAATAAATTTGTATGTACCTTTAATAAAAATTTTAAAGGATAACTATTTACCACGATAAAAAGTAGAAAACTATGTAGGTATAGGTATGTAGATATATATTTTTTAAATTTTACAAATCTTATTTAAAAATGAAGAAATTTCAAAATAAAAAAAATAATTAAATAATGCGTCATAGTCGTGATAGTTTACTTTCAAATAACACCATCATGACAACATCAATAATAATTACAACAATAACAACATAATAGAAAGATAAACAATTTGTTTTTTTTTTTTTGTAGCTGCAAATTAAAACTGATGATTATATTGCCGGCTTAAGTATACATAATATACCCATGTATTATTGTAACTACGTTTTTTCATTATTTTTGTTATATGGTAGATACATTTCAGATGCTTGTTTCAATGACCTTCACAATTAAGTTGAATTCTATGGATACTCGAACGGTGTCTTTAATCGCAATAAATGCTAGAGCATAACATGGCAAAACTCCACGACACTATAGAAAAAATCAATAAAACACACGAATGACAAGTGCAGGGTCACAGAATATAAAACAATATACACACCAAAAAATCAAATATCTAAAAACAGCAACAAATAATAAGCGGAAGTCTATTAAACGTTAAAAAAGATAAATCTCCATATAAATATCTCACAAAATCAAAATATGCCCCCCACAAAATGATAAAAATCAATTTAATTTTCTCCAAAATATAGTAATATATTGATATTTTGCCAACATGCCTCCTATTCACCCTGGATAGATAAAACATGAAAAAACTTAACTTACCTGTTGATTTTTTTATCAACAAACACTGTTTTTAAGGAAAATTTATTTTTTTAACGATTTCTTATAAATACGTAAAGTTGCAATAACAGCACCAACAACGCCTTGTTTTATTTGTTTATTACAATTATTTTTATGGCTTGATAATTTTTGGAAATATTTCTTTTTATATCGGTAATTAGATAAAATTTTCTGATTATTTTGCAATGAAATTAAGCGAAAAACTCGTTAACACTTTTACACTCGGACTTTCATTTTTTGACTGTCATCTGATTTTATTGTCAAATATTATTTTTTTCCATTCTGCAGTGCTGCCAACCAAATAATATTAAAATATCGTCCGATGTGGCTGTGTTCATGACCAGGGTTGTATTTTTAACAGCAGTAACTGAAGATTTTAAGCTAGACTTAAAGAATAATTGCAAATTAAACGGAATAATTGACAAAAGTAATCATTTAATGATAAATACTTCTAAACATCAATAATTATTTTCTACATGCAGTTTTACTACTGGTATTCCTACTTTTTGGAAACTTTTTCAAATATAAAAATTTTAAAAAGTTTCTCATTGGAATAGTTGTCTGTCTGATCACTAATAATTTTTAAAATAAACAATTTTTGAATTAAATATTTTCAACAGTATTTCAGGAAAGTTCAATTGTAAATAAGATTTTCCATTTGATATTCAGAAGACTATTTGATAATGAGAATTTTCGTTCGAAATTAAGAAAAAACAGTTGAAATTGAGGTTTTTCGTTTTGAATACAGCCCAATTGAAAATCTTATTTTTCATTTTAAATTCAGAAAAAATAATTAGAATTGAGATTTTTCATTTGAATTTCAGAATAGCACAATAACATCTTTTTCATTTTAAATTCGGAAAAACATTTGAAAATAACAAATAAAAAAAAAAAAAACAATTTGAAATTCAGTATTGAAAATGAGTTATAAAGAAATTAATTATTTTTATGAAATTCAAATATACAGTGGACGTCCAATAGTACGTATACTCTTTATTACGAATATCCAATAATACGAATGGCAAAATTGTTGCATTGTCTACTCTATAGTACGAATAAAGTCATAATTTTTCTGTTCGATAGTACGAAAACGCATTTTTTATGGGAATTTTGGTTTTATTTACGTATGAATGAAGTTTTTATTATGTTTTTATTTTATTATTTCGGTATCATTCACCTTAAGCTCAGTAATTTTGAAGTTTTTTTGTATTTATTACAAGTGTTTTGTATTTTTAAAAATCCTATACATACAATTTACTGCATGTATATTTACAAATCAACAATTATTTAGTGTTATTAATTTATTTTATTAGAATTTTGATGACCCAAGAGAAGAAATTAATTTGGATGATAACGCCAATGAGGAAAGTATTTTATTAGTTCCCGACAATAACTCTGCTGAGAACAATATTGAAGCCTCAAAAGCGCTGTTATTGAAAAAGCCATAAGAATCATTTTACAATGTAATAAACATCGATGTTAAATGATGGATTTTTTAATAAGTAAAATGATATTTATATACATATGTATGTATGAACTGTTAATTTTGAAAGTAGTGTGACTCCACATTCCAAACAATGGGTTTAAGGATAACTATTCAAATTTTTAAGAGAAAATTATAAATTAGAGAATTGTGGTATATTCCATTCAAGTTTGTAATAAAAGTTTTATGTAATCTGAACATTTTAATACATTTTAGAACACATATGTAAATTGCAAATTGTCTTTGGCACACATCTTTTTAAAAACATTAAAATTTAAAACCTTCTACATATATCTCATTTCAACCATTGGACTCACGATACTTTCAAAATTAACAATTCATATACGTAAATATGTCCCTTTTATGCCTGTTTATGTACAAGAAATTTATTTAAAATAATACACATTTATTATATTTTGTTCCGTTATGTAATTTTTCATGAAAAATAAAACAATAATAAATAAAATCCAATATTTTATGCGTATTATTTGAATTTAAACATACAAAATGTGTTGTTCAATAATACGAATTTTTCGGTATTACGAAAGGGCCTGACACTATATAATTCGTACTAGTGGACGTCCACTGTAAATCTCATTTTCTATAGCTTGTTTCAAAATTTCAAACGAAAAAAAATATTTCTAATTGAATTTTATTTGATAAATCTCAATTTCAATTGGCCTTCTCTGAACTTCAAGTGAAAAATTTTCATTCGATTGGGCTTTTTTTTGAATTTCAAATGAAAAATCCAATTTTCTATTGGGCTTTTCTGTATTTCAAGTGAAATTCTCAAATGGAAAAGATAGATCGTTTTTCGGTATTCATAATATAAAGTTTTATTTTATTATACATATATGATAATTTTCAAAATCCCATTATTTAAACAAATTCTTTCTTCATTTTTTCTTTAAATATTCGGGCTCACGTACAGCTGAAAACTTAGCTGGCTTACAGGCGATTTTAAGCCGCCGCCATAAGTTTTGTAGTCAGCCGACGAAACCTTTGGTGTCAGCCGCCAACGACCTTAATGTTTATCGGCGCAGGACTCTGTCAGCGACGTTCAACGCGAATTTCATTCATTTCGTTGTGATTTTTCACTAAAATTTTTATAAAAATTCATAATAAATCTTTAAAATTCTTAAATCTAAACAACAAATAAATGAAATTTAATGCCGAAACATGTAAATAAAACATTTAAAACAAATTTTTACAAGTGCAAAAATAAAGAAAACATAAATTAAAATATTGCACATCAGCAACAAGATCACACAATTTTTTTGTCTTAATTTTTTTCTACGGTGGAGAAATAAAAAAAGAAGGTTGAACAAAAGTTAAAGCTAAGCTAGTTCACAAAGAAATTTGTATAAAAAATAATTTTTTCTAAAAAAATGTATTAAATTGTGATAAAATAGAATTTAGCTATTAAATATATATATAAAGTGTGCGAAGTATAAAAAAGAATGTTACAAAATGTTACGGACTTTGGAGTGTAAGAGGAATGTGTAATGAAGAAGAAAAAAATTAATAATATAAAAAGTAAAATAAATACAACAAAACAAAAAGTGTTCAACAGTCAGTCATTTTAAAATTTATTTTTGTTCATTCCCAAAGTTCTTTTTTATTATTTTGGTTAAGTAGTGTATGTTGTTGTTTTTGTGGTTTTTCTATAATAAAAAAAGACAAGTTGTTGCTTCTTTAGGCCGCACTTTGTTGCTGGCGAAAAAACAGAAGAAAAATAAAAAATAATCATAATAAAGCAGCAACAGCGGCGCCTGCCACCACCACCAACACCATTCACTCACTCTCTCACTCCCTACTACCAATAATCAACCAACCAACCGCTACTGTTGTTAACCTCCAGGTGCATTCATACAAAAATATAAAACACACAAAAAATTAAACAAAAAGAAAAATATATATTTTAAAAATTCTAATTTATTAAAAAAAAGTATTAAAGTGTTGTGAAAGACATTTTTTGTTGTTTTCTTTTTGTGCTTTAAATTCGCAAAAATATTTTGCTGACTGCAGGTAAATATACTCGAACACGACACACACAAACTTACAGACAGAAAGACATCCATGCAAACATTTTTAGACAAATAAATCATAAGTTTTTTTTTAAGATTTCTACTTCATATTTAATAAGTTAAATTAAATCTTTTTAAATATTAGCTATTTATGTATGTGTATACATATTTGAATATGTTTTGGCACAGAGGAAGTTTACGTTTATTATAATCTGTAATTTAAATAATATAATACTTCTGCAAATCTATTTTTCTGGAAATTTTTTAGTTGAATTTAAAATAGTGTATTCTCTGAAAGTTATTTATATACATTCCAAAAATATATTTTTAAATTCTACGTAAACAAGTTTTATAATTAATATTTAATTGTGACTGGTCCTTAAATGGAACATAAAAATGTTTGTAATAAATAAATTACTCTACAATATTCTAAAAGATCTGTTCATAATTGATTCGAGTGCACATAAAAGGACTCATCAATTATAGATCGATTCAAAATTTCATGTATCGTCCCTCAAATCAAAAAATTGATTCATTGTTAACAACTTTCCCGGTCGGCCCATAATTGGTCATAGGACCTACATTTCTTAAATAATTTTCCTTAAAATCATTATAAATGACCTTACAAATAATAAATAAAAATAACCACTCTAGCATATAATTGAATAAGTATATAAATTGTTATTATTTTTTGCAGAATTTTTGGATAATTCTCATTCGCTTTTAAACGGAATACACATTATTCTTCAGCTGATAATATTTCTAAACGAAACTGTTCAGCAACAATAAAAAGGGACTTGTTGGCACAACTCCGTCAGTGTGAAAAGCCACATTGAAATGCTTATGTTTATGCTTTGAATTACTGTTACTGATATCAATATAAAGAAAGATAAATCGTCGTACAGACGAGCGGACATACAAAATTATCAAGTAAAAACTAAAACCAACAATATGTTTTGAAAGACATCGTCCATTCGAGCAACCAGCACTCACCTGGAAACCCCAAACCAAATAACGATACGGTAAACAAACAGTAAAAGAATAACACACAAAATAAAAGACAATAAAACGAAGAAGAAATAAAACGAAAGAAGAAAACAACAAAAAATGAAACTTTGTTTTCAATTACTAAACATATTTATTTAATAAAAACAATTTAAACAAACAACATACACACAAAACCTAAAAAAATAAATAAATTTCAAATCGAAATAGATAAAAAGTACTTAAAAAACATAATAAGCAAAAATAAAATTAAAAGGCAACAACAACAGCGTTAGAGAAAAATACTAATAAACAAACACAAAAATACTCAAATAAAATAAAAAATTAAGCAATAGAAGGAGACTAATCAGACCCTCTCGTTCATATAGTAGTTTTTGTTATTTGTTATTTGTAGAAAAAGGCAACACAAAACTGTAATAAAATTTGGCAATAGAGCAAACATTGGCCAATAATAACAACAAAAACTGTACCCAGAAAAAAGTCACGATCAAAACAATTGTTGCTGTAACAAAACGAAAAACCTTAGAAAAGTTTTAAAGTTTCTTGGCCAAAACAAAAGTTGGAGACAAAATTTGAAACAAACCTAAAAGAAATAAGGAAGAATCATTGAATACAATAAGCAAAGATAGACAGAAGAAAAAACCTTTTGTCCTCATCATCATCGTCATCACCAACAGCAAAAGCCTCATCATTGAATTGATAGCCTTTTAAAACGGAAAAAACATTAATTGGCATTGATAGTTTTTTTTGCTGTTGTTTGGTTATTGTTGCTATTGTTGTCTTTACAAATCGTCTAAACTCCTACAATATAAACCGCAGCATCAGCAGCAGCAACAGTAAGAAAAAACCAACCGCAATACAGCAACAACAATATTGTCATTATTTTCTAATAGTGCCAAACAACATTGACATTACTTACAATATCAGCAACAACACCAACAACAACAACAATAATAACCTAACAATTCAAGCTTTAAAGGAAATAAGGAAGAGGGAATCAGTATCAACATCAGCGTCTTGTGACTGTGTTTCTTATTAGTTAAACAAACATCACTACTTTTTAATGTTGTCCATTTCATTTGAAAAGCTGTCAACAGCTTTTTATTTGTACATTTATTTTGGCTAAAATTGTAGTTATAATATCAACAAAAGAAACCCTACAAGAGATTCTTTAAGTTACGGAAAATAATAACAAACTTTCTTCCAAAATTTTGTACATTTACATTAAGAAGTAATAGAAACGCTGCGCTTATTCTTATTGGAATTTCACATCGAATTTTACAAAATTTCTATATAAAATATGGCGAACTTAGATGAGGATCGAAGGCGAAGGTAAGTTGTTATAATTTCTATTTACATATTGCAAGTATTTTAATATAAACAAGCTATTCCAACCATATGATATCCTGAAATAATGGCAGAAAACGATTAAGATTTTTAAAAAATTTATATTGAATTGTACTATCATATCAAATGTTAATATATCAAGATCATAACGATATTTTGAAATTTATTTATTGAGAAAATTTACTATATAGAATTGCAAACCTTTAATATCATCATCCAGAAAGAATCTAATTGCTGTTGTATAGCTTTATCAAAACCTAACTATTTGGATACTAAACAATAACGCAACATATTATATTACATTATAAGTTTAGATGGGATTCTAACCGCCATTTTCCAGGTTGTTGGCTAAATTATGGGTAAATACTGGATAAATACATTTTTAATTACCATTATTGGGTATTTATAAGTATGTATCATTTTAAATAAAAAATATCGTGTCCTAAAGATCAAATATTGGACAAATCTATCACACATAGGTGTGAGAATCTTTTCTGTTATATAAATCTTAAAAATCGGTCCATTTTTTGTGAAAAATGTTTATTTTTCGATTGAAAATTTGGTTTCGAAAACATTTGCAAAATACCCATTTTTGCAAAATTTTCCCTTTTAACGGAATATTTACCAATAAGTTAATTTCATAATTCCAATTTTGAGCAATTATCATTACCATCCAATCCTGAATAAAATTGACTTTATTTTGTGCATTAGTACGAACTCTAATATTTATTATGATGAGACCTTACCTTGGAAATTATTTGCTGCTTTGTTCGTTTTATTTTAGAAATACATTCTAAAAGTAGTTCCATATTTATTCCTAAATAAAGTACCAATTTAAATTATTAATAAATTTCATTAAAATCAATGAAATATTCTTTAATTACCTTAATATTATCTTCAATACTAATAATTTAAATATTAAATACAAAACTTTGCATCTAATTTTATATTGTTTTAATAATTTGCTTTTTTGCGTTGAAACGTTTACACTATTCAAGTCAATTTTCTTAATAAACTTGTCTTAAAAGTGAAAAATTATATTTGCCATATTAAATGACACAGCTCACACACAGAAACACAATTCTAAACATCGATACGATACGATTTGACCGTAATGCAATACAGGCTCATACCAAACCAAGTGATTTTTAAAAAATTTATTTAATATTTCGTGTTAAAAAACATCAAATATTACATAGATTATTTTTTGTTTGCTGCAGCAAACTAAAACTAAACAAGGTGTTGAACATTTGGGTGTTAGAATTTCAATTAAAAAAACAACAATAACAATGTTTTAATAATAAATTACAACAATATCTTTCGTATAATATGTATCACAAATGAACAACAAAATGTGCGTAACAACAATTAATTATAAGCCTAACGAATATATCACAACTATGATTGATTTTTATTTTTACAAAATAAAAAAAATATCAAATTAAATAATATATAAAATCTTAAAGTAGCATCTAAATTTGTTAAAAGGTGTTTTTGTTAACAAATTTTTTTCTAATGGCAAAAGTTTGCAAAAAAAAACATTAAGATTGTATTTATGTGTTAAAAATTTTCAAAATAACAACAACCGAAATAATTTATTAAAATAATAGAACCAAATAAATATACATGCATATATACAAAATGGACAAAAAAAAAAACGCATTTAAAAACAATTTTAAGTGTTGAGCTGCTTTTAATAATGACAAGCGAGGGAACAAATACATTTCTATATTTGTAGTCTCTTTAAAAAGTCTATAGATTCTGTGTTTTGTGTTTTTGTTGCTGTTATTATTATTTCTAATACATATTGTATCAATCACCATTACATTTTGGTGTTTTTTTTCATCCAGCCAGCTAGCCAAGCAGTCAACTATTCAACCATCCATTTGTGTTTAGAAATACAAACTATAATTATTGTTCTGCTTTTGTCGTTTGTTAGACGGACGGTCGGTCGGTCGTTCAGTCTGGTCTGTCTATTTAACATTTATTTATCTAACGGCCGGCTTCAGCACATATTGTTGTTGTTATTTTTATTTTTAATATATTTTTGTTGTCTTTGTCTAAAGTCCGTCCATCAGACAGCCTCTCTATCTAGCATCATTTCATTTTAAAATGACACTGACTTTGCCTTTTTGTTAAATATTTGCCATTTTTTCATTAAAATGTTGATAGTTTTTTTTTTTGTTTAATTTTTAAAGCAAAACTATTAATTTTTGTTTTTCAAACACGAATTTACGATTTGTTAGTTGGTTAGTAAAACTATTTTTATAGATATGAGACTATGGCAGATGATTAGACAGAGATTATCTTTAGGAAACATTTTTTTGCGTATTTAGCATTAATAAACATTTTTCGATATGAATTTTATTTATTAGTCTATAAGGCTGGATTGTAGTCTAGACGAGAGCCAGGAATATAGTCTATATTCTATATTATTGTCTAGACTAGCATATAATTTTGTCTATAGTCTTGTTTATGGACTATTTTCTTGTCTTGTGAACTAGAGTTTAATCTACAGTCTGGACTATTGACTAGTAGTATATAATCGGAATTATGGTCTGGTCTATGTTGTTGTAACAGTTCCGTTGTTGATGGAAGTTCTTCAATTTGGAAAATACTTCCAGTTGATACAGGTGCTACTGAGTTAACAATCTTAGTCCAATTGTGAATCGGTTCGTCACGAAGAGAATTTAATAAATAGTCAAAAAAAAAAAAAAAAAAATAGCTTAAACAAAATTACTGAAGTAGAATTCCTTCCAAAAGTTTTTAGATATCCCAACATATCATATCTGTAAATATTTTAAAATAAAAATTCTGCCAAATTATTGAGTAGAGTATTTATAGAGTCGTTTTAAACTGTCATTAAACTTGTGAAGCTCATTAATAATATTGATGTTTGGATATCATCTAAGTATGTATGTGTGTGAGTGTTTTATGAAAAACCATTAGATTTTGTACACTGTTATTGCTGGTGGTGCTTTTTGTTTTATACATATTGTATAAAAATGTATTTTTGTCTAAACATTAATTTTTCACTATCGTCAGCAATTTAAAAGAGTCAATCGTCGTCGACATCTTTAGAATACTGAAAAACACTCAATCACACGCAGTACAAAACAACAGATTCTGAACAAACAAATTAAAAAGAAATAACAACAATCTCTCTATTATTAATGATAGATATTACATCATTACAGTTTAACCAATAACTTGTGGCGGACAGAGTTTGGGGCTTAATGTGGTTGCTGGTGGATGGTTGATAAATTGAAGTGTGAATGCGAATCGTAAGAGCGTATGGTTGTTTGATTATTTTTGTTTAAATAGATATAGCAAAAATTAACGCCATTGTCACTCATTCATTGATTCATTTACTTGCTTACCCACAATATAATAAACTCTACACACATTCAACGATGTATATAGTTTAACGGACAATATATACAGTCGGCCTGCCAGCTAACCCAACCATTCATACAATTCAATCATTCATTCATGCTCCATGATAGTTTGTTTGTTGGGTCAGTGAAGTAAAGCTCTCTTTTTCCATGAAATATAAACCGCAATGATACAAAATACACACGATCACTTCGTAAGCAACAGTAAAAATCAAACTTTAATACGATGAACTACGTCAACTTAGAATTGGAAGCAACAAAAGCAGATTTGGAATCAGCAATAGAAATCGAAACAAATATTAAGAATGTGAAAAATAAACGAAAACGTTCTACAACTCTTTTTATTTTAGCAGCAATTTTTGTGTTTAGAATTGAACTGCTCGCTGATGACTCTTAGTCACAGTGATAGATTTCATTTAAACAAAACGCGTACGTAAAAAGAACAAGAACGTGTGTGTTGTGTGTGTTCCTTCTTAATTCCGATTCGTGTATTTTCTAATTTTCTTTTATGGCCCTCTGAAAAAAAATCAACAAATAAATTTTAATTTTTAACGGTTGTATTTGCGTATTAGTTTATTTCTGTTTTTATTTATTTGTCTTTTTAAACCGACACGATTTTGTGGTCATTTTTAAACTCGTGCTTTAGAGTTCAAAGACATGCTGTTGTTAAGTCAAGCAAATAGTTAAAGATGGAAATACAAAAAAAAATTATTAAAATTTGACAAAAATGCGTTACAAACCTAAAATATTCCTATTAAAATTATCAATAAATGAATGATTAAGTGAAATTTTTAAATATTGTTTGTTTTTAAAAATTACAAAAAATAATTTCAAACATATTATTGTAATTGTTGCTAAATTATGCTGCCTTCAAGTGATCATTATTTGCGGTAATTGAATATTTTAGTTTTTTTATAATACTAATAAAATGTAAAATTGATATGCAAAAAACATGCCATAAAACTAAATATTAAAAGTTTATCCATTGAAATATTTCGTATTAAATAATTCATAATATTTTTAATTTAAAATTAAAATGACATTTAATAAGTTTTACAATTCGGACTGTTAATTTAAATTTAAAAAAATTCTATAAATTTATGATCTAACCTAAATTTTTTTTATTTTAGATGAATTTAATTTTAGATTTTTATTTAGATGAAATTCAGCAATTTATTATATTTAGAATTGAAATTTTGATACAAGTGTTAGAACCTATAGTCCAAAGTCATATACGTATTCATATTCGACATTTTATAACTTGGACCTTATAAGGAAATCTGAAATTCAGAAAATATTTCCCGCATTCAACTTACTCAAATTATTCTAAATATAAATTATGACCTTGAAAGGCTTAATAAGCCTAAACTGATAGTAAGTTTTCTAAATATTTTTTATTGCTGAATATTGTGATTAATTAGGTTTCTTGATCCTTCTTTCCTAGGAAAACAATTCGGTTAAAACTTCATTTTTCCTCTCTTTCTTTTCTTTTTGTTTTCTTTTAGTGTTTTGTTTCTCTCTCATTGCATCTTCACATTCTACAAAGGGAATCACAATCAACCTTATGATGGACTAAACTAATTTTTAAAT